TACATTTAAATTTGTAATTATATCTTTTTAAAATATATTTTTATTGATTTCAGAGAGGAAGGAAGTGGGAGAGAGAGAAACATTAGTGATGAGAGATAATCATTGATTGGCTGCCTCCTGAATGCCCCTTTACTGGGGATCGAGCCCGCAACCCAGGCATGTGCCCTTGACTGGAATCAAACCTGGGACCCTTCAGTTCGCAAGCCAATGCTCTATCCACTGAGCCAAACCAGCTAGGGCTGAAATTATATCTTTTATTTGTCCCTATTAAATTACCCTTTCCTTATGTTGACTGTTTTAAAACTTAGACTATATCTATATTTTTTCCTCCAGCTTCACTTAATATGGCTTGGGAAGAATGGCCATATATTAAAATATCATGTAAGAATCTCTTTGAGTTTTAAGATTGATAGAGCTTTTTCAAAAAACCCTGCAAATGAATGGATGTTTAAAATTAGTAAGCCATCATAATTTTCAGAGAGGAAAAAGTTTAAATAATGAAGCTTGACAAAATGAAAACTACTTAAATGATTCCCATTCTGTTCAAGAAACTTTGCTTTCCAAACAGCTTAAACTTTCTACTTGTAGCTGCAGTACGTGGAAAGGCTTTTTCAACATGGTGATTATATGCACCTTAAAATGTATGTAGAGTACGCTAAACCTTTCATGAGAGACAACAAACTCCAGTGATCGGCAGAGGATATGAAACTCTCTCAACTATTTTACTGCATTGTATTAACCACGCCATTTCAGAGAGATGAAAAACAGATACATAAAGAACAGAACTTTGGGAATTTTGCTCTTGTTTTGTTATCCTGTGACTCTTGTTTCAGTACTTCCTTATTTTCTTTCGGCGTTTTAGTAGCTGCACAGACTACAAACATTATGACAAAATGCAACATTACATGCACTAATGTGTTATTAATTCTATAAGTGAAATCACCTTTCACATACACCCTGTGTATGAATTTCCAAAATATTTGAAATGTGAAAGGCATCTCTATAGCTACTTTTTATATCCTGGGCTACAGTTTAGAACTCAATCACTTGACATTTCAGGGGGAATGTGTAATTAGATACATGACCAGGAAAGTAGCAAGATAAGTCGTTTCTGGAGAATTCAAGATAAGTCTTGTCAAAAACACCTAAAGCACAGTAATAAAAAGAAAGCATACCATTAATATCACCACCAGCAGTCAGAAGTTTGGTCTTGCTCTTTGAAATAAAATGCTTAGAAATCAGTGAGGTAGTTTATATTTATAAAGATAAGGAAGAAACGTGTACAAAACGTAAAAGGAGAGTCTGATGAACTAATTATTAAAAGTTTAACATATCTGTAAAAAGTCCATATGAATTCATTGTTGCTAATAAATACATAATCCTACCTGGACTCTAATTAATTGAAAATGCCCTATTTGAACCATGCTTCTTATTTTGTGTTTTGTTACTGGTGGTAAACTGAGAAATATAAACCAAAATCTAAAGAACAAAGTTACTAATCCCAAAGATTCTACAGAAAGGCAAAAAGCCCATAATAGTCAACAGGATATTGATGAATAAGAAAAAGTCAGCAGACACTACCTGACTTCAAGAATTCCTATATAGCTACAGTAATCAGGACTACTAGGTGTTGGTGAAAAATATACAAACAGATCAACAAAATAGGTAAAGAGCCCAGAAACAGACCCACACAAATATAGTCAATTAATGTTTGACAAAGAAGCAAAGTTAATATAATGGAGTAAAAACACTATTTTCAACAAAATGGCGTTGAAACTACAGGACATCGTCATACAAAACTATGAATCTACAAACAGACCTTACGTCTTTCACAAAATTTAACTGAAAATAGACTACAGATATAAATGTAAAATGCAAAATTATAAAACTCTTAGAAGATAACTCATAGAAGAAAATCTACATAACTTTGTGTTTGGCAAGGACTTTTCAGATATAATACCAAAAGTCATGATCTATAAAAGAAATAAATGATAACCTAGATTTCATTAAAAATAATAAATAATATTCTACAAAAGGCAATGTCATGAGAATAAGAAGACAAGTCACAGACCAGGAGAAAATATGTCCAAAATATATATCTGATAAAGAACAGTTATCCTAAATATATACAACTCAACAAGAAAACTAACAACTTGACTAAGAAATGGGTCAAAGACCTTAAAAGACATCTCACTAAAGAAAAGATATAGATGGCAAATAAGCACATTAAAAGACACTGGATATCATATGTCATAAGAGAAATGCAAATTAAAATAACTACAAAATATCACTATATTTCTATTAGAATAGCCAAAATCCAGAACACTGGGAAAACAAAATACCAGTGAGGATGTGGAGCTACAGGAATTCACATTCATTATTGGTGGGAATGTAAAAATGGTACAGACACTTTGGAAGACAGTTTGGAAATTTCTTACAAAACTAAACATACTTTTATTATAAGATCCAGCAATCATACCTTGCCATTTATCCAAATGACTAGAAAACTATGTCTACCCAAAAATCTGCATACAGATGCTTACAGAAGCTTTATCCATGATGGCCAAAACTTGGAATCAACAGATGAGTGAATATATAAATTGGTACATCCAGATAATGGAATATTATTCCCCCCTAAAAGGAAATGAGCTTTCAAGCCATGCAAAGACAAAGGAGAAATCTTTAAAGCAAATTTTAAGTAAAAGAAGCCAATATAAAAGGGCAACATACTATCTGATTCCAATATATAACATTCTAGAAAAGGCTAAACTATGGAGACAACAAAAAGATCAGTGCTTGCCATATATTAATGGTGAAGAAGGGGTGAATAGGCTGAGCGGAGAGGATTGTTTAGGGCAGTGAAACTACTGTTTTGTGATACTCTATTGATGGCGACATGTCATTATACATCTGCCAAAGCCCACAGAATGTGCAAACTAGGAGTGAACTGCAGTGTAAACTATGGACATTGGGTGATAATAACTTTCAATGAAAATTCATCAATTTTAACAAATGTATAACTGTGAGAGATGTTGATAATGAGGGAAGCTATGTGTGTTTGGAGAGGGAGGCATGGGATATATGGGGAATCTTTGTAACCTTCTCTTGCTTTTGCTGTGAACCTAAAAATACTGTAAAAATAGTCTATTAAAAATTACTAATTCAGAGTAATGGATTTTCTAATTAGTTTCATATACTCAGGAAGTACTTCAAAACATTTGTTTTTGAATCTTAATGAGTGGTGACTGTATGTGTCAGAGCGTGTGCATGCGTAAAGCAGCATATTTTAAGTTTTTCTCTGAATCAAATGATACTCGACATTGACATCTCGAAGAATAGTATATAGTCTTAGCACAATGCATTATTCAGTCTTCTGTTAAGAACACATTATATAAAAAGAAAATTGTTTTCTTCAAATTGTAATTAACAGAAATCTTTGTAACGTAAAAAACACTTTTCCTCCAAATGGGCATATTTTTATCTCATTTTGTTGAAACTTTGTGTCAAACATCAAGAGAAAGTGTTGAATAAACATGATCCAATATAAGAATGCAATTGTTCACAGAATAATACAATCCAAGAAACTCTCTTCAGACAGAACAAGGAAATGGTAAATCTTTGAGGGGAGTATCTCAGTAACAAAACAAAAGGAAAATACTAGCCCAGGCCCACGTATAGTAGATGGAGAAAACTATTTTTAACTCTGGGGTTGTTAACCACTTTCTTTTAGGACTTCTATCCACTGTATTCAGTTGGTCCCCTGACTTGCCCTTCCTTTCCATCTCCACTGATTCTGCCCTACATTTTTATCAATTTATGGTTCAATTAGTCAAAAAGCCTAATTGGTTTTCATTCCTCTAGCACCTCTTCTTGCCAATGCAGAGTCTGAAGTTACAAGATTTACTCTCCTAAATGCACACAGCTAACTGTGCTTAATGCAGGATAAAATTGATTCTCTTCCCAACCAGAACACAAGTAATTTTTCCAACTCTGTAGTACAATGCTCCACAATACCCCACAAGTGTACTGTGTACTTAATCATTTCCTGCCTCAGTTTGCTCTAGTGATGCCATAGCATTTCTTTGTTTGGTTGTCTCTTTTTCTCTTCCGACAATTGTTATTCTATTTTTAAGGTCTAGTTCAAGTGTCCGACTTTTAAGACTTATTTGTTAATCTGAGGGACAAATTCTACACTCTTGACAACATACCTCCTTAACATTTGTTTATGTCCTAGTCAACTGTGCATGCCTCTGATTCCACCATCAGCCCAGCGTTCCTTAAAGCAGTGGTAAGTACTGTTTTATTTTTGTATCTACAGCACCTGACACTCAGTAAAAGTTCAATAAATACACATTATTGCTTATCTTTGTGTTATATATATCACACAGACACACATATACAAGACTGAATTTGGCCTTTTGGTGATTTGCCACTTTTAAACAAGAGTCTATTTCTTAGGTTTTTCTTCTGCATTTGAGTTAATAAATAAAAGGGAAATGTTAACTTAATTCATAAAAATAGAATCTGTAACTTTTGGGGGGAAACATTAAGGAATATTATTTCAGCCAGTTTCTCTATCTCCAATAGGCCTCCTAGCTACAAATGGGTCTTAACTGATCCTTAAATACATTTAACATGTATGCTTCAACAATATCACCACTAGTCACTTAGCACTTCCATTGTTTTATTACCCAAGTTTTATCAATTTTACTAAGAATGCTCACTATTCTTTAACACAGAAAAGTATAAAAATCAGTAGTTTGTTCATGAGCAGACATATGTAAGTGCCAAGTTCAAATATTTGCCTTTTCAAGAAAAAGAATAAACTAAATATTATAGCACATAAATAAAAGTCAAGTTGGTGAATAGAGTAGCCATTATCAATAATGAAAACATATACCCCCTGGGAGAGTTTGTGGAGGCTCCTCCCTGCCGAGGGAAAAGGTTTAGTTATGTGTTCCATTGTGCCAAGGACAGACTGGTCCTTTCCAGACACTTACCCTCTGACAGCATGAATAAGTCTCAATGATGGATAGGCAGTTCGCACTTTCAGTTTATTCTTAAGGATTAATGCATTAACCCACTCCACGTGCTTCTCTCCTCCTTTGACCATGAAAGCAGGGATCCAAAGGACACTGTCATTCAGCATGGAAAGTCTGTGCACAAATTTTTCTCTGTCACTCTCATTCCGAAAGCCTCCAAATGCTCTTTGCACAACTGATGGATTCATGGTAATAAAATCTGATTTAGTTCCCACATCTGCAGCAAACTCCACCACAGGGGCTAAATTACACCTGAAGAGGGAAAAATTAATGGAAAAGTGAGAAATAAATATGAAACATTTACTTCTAAAATGATATGCTTGAAAAGAAGAATGAGATACGAGCATAGTTTTTATTTTAACCAGGTAGGAAAAAAAAATCTGGGAAAATTACATTTTCAATAAATCACCACGCATCAGGAATTTTCTGCAATAAAGATGTGCACTCCTAGGGTAGGGCTCAAATTGTCACTTACATGAATTCAACCTGCTGTCTAAGAATACTCTTTGCTGTAATCGCCATAAAATCATACAATGTGAATTCCTAATAGGTGAATTTATGATGGTAAGTTTGGCTGTCGCCATGCAGGTGGGAAACCTAACCACATGCTGTTCTATAAGTAAGTAAAACCTGATCTCCCAATCTGCACCACTCCTCAAGCTTAAGTCATGTCAACAACTTTATAAACATAAGTAAGTGACGATGGCTTTTCTGTATTCTAAGGTTAAGGGAAAACTGTAATTCCTTATAGCATTTTTCATAAACATGTCTATAATTGCCTTCTAGGGGCCTAAATGGGAAACAAAGGTAAGAGAAATGGAGTAATCATATTTAATATGCATTTTTGAGATGTTAAATAATGCAGAAAAGCCCTGCTATAGAGACAAATACCTTTCTGTTTCTCTGAGGACATACTCAAAATGCTTGTTTTCCCTGTTAACAGGAGACTTGCCCACTGTCGGGGAGGTCAGAATTGGCTGACCTGTTCTCACATCTGAAGTTCCAGGATATTGCAAAGTGCCTGCGCCTGGTTCTGTTCTTGTATGCTGATTTCACTCTTGTATTACAAGTTTAGGAAAGTACCTTGAACTTGGCATTCAGCCAATTTGTGATGATATTTTGATTCTGTGACATAGATCTTTGACTACTTGAAAACAGTCTTTTATTTTAAAGTACTTTACCTCCTAGGAAAGGTAAATTTTAATTACCTTTGATTAGTGAAAAATTAGATTTTTAGCAAACAAGATTTTGCTAATTTGGAAAAAAAATAATTTGAATCTATTCAATGTACACCTTCATGAAAACACACACAAGCATACACACACACCCATAGACACAGACACACAGAATTCTCCTTCTTTTCTTTTTCTCTCCTCATATCAGCCTTTCAAGGGAAGGAAAAATAGAATGATTTCTTCTTTCTGTATTTTACAGATTTGACTGCATTATGAAAATTTCTCACATTTCTCTTCCTTATGCATTTAGCCATATTCATTATATTCTTAAGCCAGATAAATTTAATTAAAAAGTAAAGTGTGTGCTCTGCCATTAAAAATACTGGCTTATGTATCCTTTCTTATCTCTTTTAATTAATATGCATTATTACTTCTTAGATCTCTAAAAACACTTAGCTATCACAACAGATATCTTTCATCTTACACAATTAAGCAAAGTCTGTTATCAAAGATGAGCTACTGAGATAAAACAAATAAAAATTGATACGTCATATTATTTAGAAATAATATTTTCAAGTTATGCATATTTAAATACACCCACTATATTATGAGAGGGTATTTTTGTCTCTATCCATGATCCATGCACTATTTGATATTAGACACTATTCATCCCCACCACAGTCAGAATGTTATGGATGGGATTGCCCTGGAAAAGAACAGCTACATGTGAGGAGAAACCAAAGTGAGCATCTTACAATGGAACTCATGGAAGACTGAGGACATGGTGAAGTTTGAGGTCCTAAAATGTACTCCATACCAGCTTTAAAAATAATCTAAAATTCTAAGCAAGCAGATTATAAGATGAATTTAGATACTGTGGGGGAAAATGTGTTCTTATTATCTTTATTACAGACACTTCTACTTCCATAGATAAAAAATAGGCAATGCTTGTTAATATCACAGTTAACATGTTCCTGTCAGGAAAGATAGCATCAAATATATCTTTCTGCTACAACAATTCCTCAGCAATTCTTTTCAGAGGATTCCCCCTATAGAAAAACAATACCTATACTTCACTTTCTCTACACTTATAAAAATTATCCAAGCCAGCCCAGTTTAAAAGAACAAAAATAACATTCTCAGGGGAAAAAAATCACTTAATTACTTTATGCTTTTCATTACTTTTTCTTATCACATATTTAAAAGCTATTCCACCCCCAAGTTTTCTAACACCCACTTTTTAAGGATTGGCTCAGCATGTTTCTGAAACATGATTATCTGGCCAGGTATAATTTCAGAGCTAGAAAGACATTCACCCATAAAGTTGGATATTGAAAATCAGGTACTTTCCACCTTGGAAGCAAAGGAAACTAACAGAAGAACATTTCTGGAGAATAGGGTTGATCCAGGAAACAAAACAACATAGTTAATGCAATCAAGGAATGTTAAATGACTGTGGTGCTAACAAAAGGGAACAAAGAGATCAAAGAGTAATTAATCCACATGAGTTTTATTGTAAAGTTTTTATGTCTTAAGCACAGCCCAACCAAGCTTTGCGAGGGACGGAAATAGCATGACAGAAGGACACATAGTAAAATACAATCTATGCTGGCTCCGGGAGTTCGACAGGTTCATTTTCCTTGGGGAGACTATGTCTAATTTTTCATTGGAAGGAAAGATTAACATCATGCTCACATGTGGCCAGTAAATTAACTACTCTGTGGTTGAGTCAGATATTTAGTCATATATTTAGCTGAACGCTACATAATCAGGGCAAACATTAAGCAAGCCAGAATAAGCAACCAGCTGTGTTGTACTCCAGCAATTCAGCAGGCTTGTTGCGAACCACATAGCGATACTAGTAGCAATACTGCTGATTGAGCAAGATTATGAATAGATTTCCAATCACATCTACTTCATCTTCCTTTCTTTAAATCTTAGGGATCACAATATTCAAAAGTATCCAGAATGTGTGGCAAGCATTTATGAAGTAACACATTATTTTAGATGTTATTCTTAATCTCATAAAATTGAAGAGTGGACAACTTATAAATGATGGATTTTGTGAGTCAAAAGTACTAAGTGCATAAGAATATTTAATATATTTAAGCTCTATTTCTTTAGCCAAATTAAATTTTAACTGTCCAACTAGTTTTAGACATATTAAAAACCTGAAGATATATACACATTATCCAAACTCCCTGTTTAGTCTAAGCTGCCTAATTTTCTATTTATTTACCATCATTGCTGAAAATCCTGAAGAAATGCAGCTAGGTCCTCTTGTAATTTAGACCTCTGAAATTTCTTCTATGATCTCACTCTAGATGTGATTGCCTTTCAACATTCCTTCTATGCAGAATTGAAGGTACTTTTGTTTATTTCAAGGCTATGTAATTTTTAACGTTCATTTTAATTCATTTAATTTTTAAGGAAAGAAATGCTTATTTCATGTATAATAACTCAAGATCACAGAATTCCCTAGATTTCTTAGATTTATTGATATTCCCTGAATTCTCCTTATGTTATAGTTCAGCAGTCTAAGCAACTGAGAAGTTCTTTTCTCAATAGCTCAACAGTTCTCTTGAGAGTTCATTCTGAAAATACTGCACCATATGTTCAGAACTCTTCCAGCTATCTTACTATTTGATAGTAATTTTTTACAATGATATAACCTGGCCAAAATACAATATTTTTGGCTATTATTAGTAATATCAGTAAGATAATTCTCATTGATTTAGCCACGTCTTTAATCATTCCATGGTGCATCTTATACATTTGTGCTACCTACAGGACTAGTCATCCCCAATACTGAGGTAAAACAGCATGCACTGTGATATGGAAGGCTGTTAATTACTTCTTTACACATATAACATAGATTAAGTGAGAAGAAAACAAAACTGAGTGTACTGCAGAATAAATTATATTCTTCCTCACTACTAGTTAATGTCTCTTTTGACCAACACCAACTCCACTGTGTGTTTCTCTGTACTAGCATTAAAATCCCTTAGCCCAAACCATTGTTACCAATGGAACCACATTTGTCAACCAACCAGGAAAGGGAGATAGCCTCTTCTCTTTTCTGCTCCCAGAGGAAGCTTATGGTTCCTATCTACTCTCCTCTTACTTTTGAGCTTGAAGAACCAAGAGAATAAACACTCTCTGTTACCTGGGTGTTTTAGGTTTTGTGGTTACCCTCTCAAAATTGGTAGGAGATGGTGAAACGTGCAATCTATCAGTCTTTCTGACTTTCTTAAGGTGAGGGTATTAGGCCCCCAATTGACTTGAAACCAACACTTTTCCCAACACTTTGAGGTAAGTAGTATTAACTCCACTTTGAAGACGAGAAACTAAGGTCAAAGTGGTTAAGAAATATGTCCTAGGCCAGTGGTTCTCAACCGTCTGGCCCTTTAAATTCAGTTCCTCATGTTGTGACCAACCATAAAATTATTTTCGTTGCTACTTCCTAACTGTAATGTTGCTACTTTTATGAATCATAATGTAAATATCTGATATGCAGGATGGTCTTAGGCGAACCCCTGTGAAAGGGTCATTCGACTGCCAAAGGGGTCGCAACCCACAGGTTGAGAACCACTGTCCTAGGCCATAGTATATATAAAAGAACAAGCACAGCTACTTTAGAATCACTCCAGGACGGAAGTTTTAAATGACATAACTTACACATGTGATTTCTTTCAGAGTCAGAGGAAATGTTTATATGTTCATCATTCACCCCAATTTCCTGTAGGAGAAAGAGTACTTTACCATTTAGTTTCAGGTTCCAGTCTCAGACTCCCAGGATTTAAGCATATTATATAAAACAACTCAGCCATAAACACTCCCCAAATCCTGAGCAGTTATTAAACAAGGGGCCTTAAGTATATTAAATATGCAAAATAATATTTATACTTCAGATCTCTTGAGGAAAATTTTTCAAAATGTTGGGAAAAGGGTTAACTATCTAATTTAGGTCATTTTGAAATATGAAGGGAATTGGCATGCTATTTCTTACACACTGTAAGAAATAGAGATGAAATGTTATGTTGAAGATTTGCATTTTCAGTATGGTTGGGGAACACA